CACACATCACCACCCTTCCTCTACAACCCCAGAAAGGAGTCCGCGGCTGGAATAGAGGCTAGGGCTATTGTCTCCCACATTGGTCAACCGGGTTCGATTCCCAGCGCTGTCGACCCTGGGTCCGTGTCGAACGATGCCGCTGGTGGGTGGGTTTTCTTGGGAAGCTCCCATTTCTCCCGCCTTCGTATTCACTTGTTCCACCGTACTCGTCTCGCTTCACCCTCATCGACTCTCAAGACCTCGTTGTGAGGAGCCATCCAAACTTCTCATTTCACGTTACGTGTTCCGGTTCACGTATGTCGGACAAACCGCTGAGCAGACTGCCATCGCAGCTATTGACCCTTTTACCTTAAATTTATTGTTGGCGTGTGTACGTTATTTCTTTCTTCCTCCCCCCCCCTTCTCTCTCTCTTTAGCTCTTTCTCTCTCCGTGCCTGCAGAACATTCTTGGAACATATTTTAACCAGCATTACACGTCAATAATAAGGTAACCTCAAAGTATGATTCGATACCGCGTTCATCTCGTTGGCAAGCAGGCAAAATTGCAGTGGACTACTACTTCATAATTCATTTCGGAAGTACAAAAATTTTGGCGTAGCTTGCATTTTTGTGGTTTTGCTGGGTGTTCGCATTGTGACAACAACAATAGCATAAAAATATGAATTATTTTATTGAACTACTTGCTCTTCGGTCAGATATCGTTCACGTTTAGTACAATTATTAAAAACGATATCATATTTTTAAAATATCACTAATTATACATGGTTCTACTTATACAGGCAAGAAAAAATATTAGCAGGTGTAAGCTCATTTGAAGTATATAAACTTATTGCATTTGCTCCAGTCGGGTGGTTTCCGTAGTGTTCTGTATATCGTTTGTGATATTAAATCTATTTATATATATATTTAAAAAATAAATAAAAAGTGGTTCTCACGTGCGCCTCACACGCGCAAGGTCCCCGGTTCGATCCCGAGCGGAGACATCGGCTATTTTATTCTAACTTATGTTGGTTTTTAAAGTACAAAATCTAAACTCTTTAGTCCATACTTCGATTTGTACATCGCAGTTTTAGACGTTAATTCATTTTATTTTCACATGCAGCGACAAGTTTTTATTGTGAGACTGTAGCGGTTACGTTTATTGGGAATTTTGGAAATAAATGTTTTCGCCTTTATTTCGATATCAGGAAATTCCCATGTATATAATTTAGATAGAACGAAAAAATATTTGTATTGGCCCTTTTGAAGTTTCTTAAGTAGATGCATTCTTTAACTTAAATTGGTATACAAGTAAATGAATAATATTTTAATTCAACGAAATTTGATCATAAAACTGAAGTCGGAATATGAAAATGTAATATAAATTTTTTTTTCAGATTATTTGTTATTGCGGTTTATTTCTGCATAACATTTCTTCTTATGTGTACTTATATTTCTTTCAATTGTAGAGTGCGAAATTCATCAGGGTGGGAGGACTGGCCAATTAGGGCCAATACAGAATTTATTATCTTTAGTACAAAAAATTCCAAGGATGATATTGTTATTAATTATTTTAAAGAATCAGCAAACATACAGCCTCTATGTTTTGAAAGGCCTATTACACTCGGTTATGTGTTTTTCAGTAAATTTCTTAAAATTGTAGATTTTTGTAATAGCCTATCACATATTGAATCAGTAGATTTACAATGAATGTATTTCATTTATACATGTAATATGAGAAACAAAAACGTTTGATATATATTTATTTTGTCAATATAAATTGTAAAAAGTGCATTTACTGTAGCATTTGTGTCATCAACCGATCTCACATTTTATGAAGTTCTGTACTTTAATTATTAAATTATTTTGTCATTTTATTTGTAATGTTATATAATTCCAGACTTCTTATTGCTGGAAGCGTCATCATGGCCTCATGTGTTAATAAATTAACCATAAAAATAATTGAAAACCAACCTTTTTTTTTTAAGTGCATTGAAAAGAGAAAAATATATACGGTATTTACAGAGTTTGTAGAAATTTTAAGGCCTGATCGAAAAGCCATAATAAACTTTATTATAAATTACTATGTATATATAAATTTATATTTAATATATAAAAGATTTGCTCAATATAGGACGTGTGCCTCATTTGTGTAAGCGTAGTAAGCACATATCCTGAGTAAGAATCTTTACTTTTCACAATATAGAATGTATACCTCATTTTCATTGTTGTAGTAAGCATATGTCGTGTGTAAGACTGTTAACTATTTGCAATATTAAATGTATGTCACATTTGCACAAGCGTAGTAAGAACATATTATGTGCAAGGCTCTTAACTATTCGCGCCAAGCTTTTATATACTAAATATAAATTGATATAAACATAATAATATGTAGTAAAGTTTATCACGGATTTTGACCACGTAAACGATTTTTAATAATTATGTAAATGCTATACGTATTTTTTCTTTTCGTTGCATTTATAAATTAATGGTTGGTTTTAAAATGTTTTTATAGATAATTTATTTCACAATTTTTCTCTGAAGAATTTTTTGTTATTATTATATATGAACACTATATATACATTTATTTATACATTCGTGACATTAAAAAGTCTAAAAATGTGTAGTTAACGACTGGTGGCTCCTTCCAAACTTTGGGCTGCATCCAGAAAAACAGTGATGTAAAAAAATAGGTGAGACTGAAAAGACTAAAAAAAAAAAAGTTACTGCAGTATATGTTAGGTTGAAGCAAGGGCGATTATACTGCACAGGATATGTGCCAACAAGAACAGTGAAAGTTGACATGATGTCATCTATATAATTATCCTTAAGTGCCTGACGAGATTCCTCACTCTTATAACTTCAGCATTAAAAAAAATAATATTGTTCATATATAAAAATAATATTTTTTACAACATGCGCATATTGTCAACGTAGGTACAATAAACTATTATGATAATTTACCTTTTTATGTTCCCTAGAAACACCTTACTGGTTACCTAATATCATTTTTATGATGGTAGCACATTATTATTTGCCTATGTAGCCTTAACAAGAGTTATTTTATACAATATGAATATTTGCATATAACTGTTTATAAAGCAGTATTTCGTTATCATGCCTATGATTACTGTTCTCTCAAATGTATTTGTGGTATGAAATCTATCAATAATTTTAGCCAGAAAATGTAGGCCAGTATTAAAAGAGAAATAGAAATATGCTAGTGACTTTGGTCAAACGCACTGTTTGCCAACATAAAGAATGCACCTTTGTAATTGACTCTGTATTCTAACGTTGGCAGTACTGTAGAACTTACTTCGGCCAACTTAGTCAAAGAAATATGTACTATAAGTGTCCTTCGCTATATCGTTGAGTTTCTACTTTAGTATCTCTGTATGCTCCTTGTCATTGACTTTCTGGGCATCTGAAATAGAAAAAAACTGATTTTTACTTAGTTTTGTGTTCTTAGTTCCAATTTCTACACCGCTATGTTTAAACATCTGGATATGTGGTTATAGTACTGCGATGGCAACCAGAAAATTTAGCATTCTATCATTACATTGCAGATTTACAATCTGTAATCAGTTGTGAAAGTTAAGACGGATTATTAACGGCGTCGTTACATTAAGTGTCAAGGGCGTGTTTTATTAACTCATTGTAAGATATTAAAAAAAACTGTACCTGTGGTGCACCATCATAAACAATGTGAAAATACTTGTCATGAAAGAAAACCATTTACTTGGTAAACAACTCAGCCGTTTTTACTAAACAAACAAACGTAAAGATGGCGATGTGCGCCCGAACTACTATTTACATGTAATTCACAGACCGAATAAGAGTAAACGAATTCATGTGATCACCTCATCTTCGAGTGGAATAAGCGTAACAGTCAATTACAGCCTCTTTGTTTACTATACAATTGCTAGAGAAAGTAAAATATAGATATGAAGCTTAAATAATTCGATATTAAAGAATTAAGAAGGGCCTACCGTACATGACTTGTTCTATTATGAAACAATGAAATGTGTCGCATTCGAAATAAGTAGCCTACGTAAAAATTACCTGTCATAATCAGTAGATGCTGGAGATAAAGTGGGAAGAACTTGTTTTCGCATGTAGTAGCACGATATAGGTGCGTTAGTAAGTTTCCTTGTGTATGTCGTAAAGCAGGTTTCATCTATCTCCGGTTCAACACACACATTGCCGCCTTGACTTTTCAGCCCAGAAAGGGGGCCGCAGTTGCGCAGTGGCTAGAGCGCCCCCGCCCCCTTCTCAAAGTCTGAGTTCGATCCCCGGCGGAGCCGCCCGCGTAACCTTGTCTGTAGGATTCGTGACGGACGATGCCGCTAGTCGGCAGGTCTTCTTGGGGATATCCCTTCCCCCCCCCCCCTTGCGTTACAACGCTACTCTATATAATCACCTCGCTTCACCTTCATTGGCTCTCAAGACCTTGTTGTCAAGAGCTGCCCAAACTTCCCTATTACTGTGTTTGGTTCATTGTTTCGTCGACAGCCATTGTAGCTATTGACTCATTAATGACACTATGCGCACGTTACTCTCTCTCTCCCCGTCTCTCTTAAAGCCCGAAGTATTTCCATAACACATATACTATGAACTATGAGAATTTTTGTGTAACTTGTATATTTGTGGTTTTTCTGAGAGTATACATTGGTGAAAAATAACAGCATCAGAATATAAAAACTATAATTGAAGCACTGGTTTATATAGATAGATAAGAAAAAAAAAACAATGATTGGTGCAATTTTTGACACGCGATGCTTTGATCTTAAATTACCAGTCAAATATACCGTTTTTTAATTGGCGTTCGCAATATTACGAATATGTGTGTGTATATATATATATATATCTCTGTGTGTGTAATTTTTTTATTCTATATATGTATGCATTTACAAATACTCCATATTTAGGGAGAAAGAGAGAAAGACAGACCTACTCTTTTGTATGCAGATTTGCTACGATATATATATATATCTAGCCCTATCGTTTGATAATAGCGCGTGGTTTCCGTAGTATAGTGGTTATCACGTACGTCTCACACGCGCGATGTTCCCGGTTCGATCTCGGGCGGAAACCATCTTTCATTAATTTTGATGTGGAGCCGTTCTAAAGGAAAACGAATTGAAAGTCGATTGACCTGATTTGTTTTATGTATAGCAGTTGTGATCATTAATTTTTTTTCTTTTTGCATGCAGCGTTGCATGTTTTTTGGGGAACCAGTATATTCATTTGGTCGCCTTTGTTTCAAAATCATATAATAACCAATTCCGTATTTTAGATACGACGAGAAAAACATCTGTATTGTCCATTGAATTTTCTTAAGTAAACACAATTTATGCTTAACATAGTTGACAAAACTATGAATTATATTTCGTTTTAATAAAATCAGATAGTAATTTAATTTTAACTGTTTTTTTTAAATAGTTATTTTTGCTCTATCCAATGTCAAAACAATTTTACCTTGAGTGTTCTTGCATTTCGTTCAATGCCCGATTGTAAAATTCACCAGGAAGGGAGGACTTGCCATTAGAACGTACTTATTAACTTAACTACGAGAAAGTCAGAGGGTTTTTATATTTATTAAATATATCAAAGTACACGTGATGTGAGGAGGTTTCACGCTTGCAGACAAGCACAGAATATTTAGTAATACAGAAGCAAAGCTCTGGCGTGTTTCGCAAACTTCAGCCACACATGCCAGTAAAATTGTCTCACTGGCCAGCAGAAGAGAATATTATTCTACAAGTACGTATGTTTTTTGAAAACTCTGCCAATCTGCCACCGAAACCTATGAGAAAAATGGTGTCAAAACCAATTTAGAAAAAAAATCTTTCTTGATATGCATTTTGAGAAAAATGTTTGTTAGTTATGGAGATAAGTAATCAACAATCAATCTATGTTTCACATTTTTACTTAACATCAACCTCAAAAGCAATTTCCGAAACAGCAGTTTATGTCCCTATTTTTTTTAAAACACATATTATAATATTCGGAAATAATGCCAGTGAATGACAAACAGTTTACTAGTTATCGAAAATAGAGTAACAATTTGTAACACTGTTTTTACACGCTTTAATTTCTTGAGGATAGGATTTGTCACCTAATCACAGCGAAAAACACCTCCAAATGTATATCGGCATTCTTTTTGTTCTACATCACTGTGTCATTATTAAAACACATGAATACACTACCGTATTTGTATATATCACTGAACTATGAGTAGTAGGCATATGGCAGAGGTAGTGCAGAGGGACAGCGCTCGAGGATAGAGGATCTGACCTTGGATGACGTGGATCTCAACTTTTACCTCTTTTTCCAAAAATTGCTCATTTTCGCACAAAATCATATTTCTTATCCCAAAAATGTCTTAACATTTCCCTTTTCTCCCTACAAATGTCACGTTTTTCCCTAAAAATTCTCCGTTTTTCCTTAAAAATTACCCAATAATCCCGAAACATTTCCTGTTTTTCCTTAAAAAGAGCTTCCCCCTGATTACGGGCAACGTAAGTCCTCAATGCGGGCAAGGTACTAGAATTCTTGCCCGCACTGAGGAGTCGAAAAAAAATGTAAATTATATTTATAAATTATTTTGATATAATTATATCTATTTTTTATAAATAAACCATTTAAACGCTTAAGTATTAAGGGTTATGTGTCACCGGACTCGTCTTATCAAGATGCATACGATAAGGATATGATAAAAATATAAATAAATACATTTTTAAATTTAAATATATTTTTTTATAAAAAAAATTAAAGACATTAGCATTAAGTGTTATATATCACCAGACTCGCCTTTTCAAGACGCATGCAATCGTGATGACATACCACCACACTGCCTTGTTTTTTATGTTCTTATCATTCCATACTATCTCTCTCTTTCTCTCTTTCGTTCACTATTTCTATCTCCTTCTATCTTGCCTCCCTCATTCAGTATCTTTCTCTCATTCCATTCTTTTCTCCCTGTCTTTCGTTTCTCTTTCTCGCCTGCCTCATTCAATATATTCCACTCATTCAATTCCTTTCTACCTCTCATTCGTTTCTTTCTCGTTCTCTCATTCCATCTCTTTACCTCCATCTCCTTTGTTTCTCTTTCTTTCTCTCTTTAGATTTTAGCTTCCTCTCCGAGGGTTTTCTTGGAGTCCCCCATTTTTGTTTCATTATCTTCGATTAGTCACATTTGCTCCATTGATAACTTATACAAGTTTGATTAGTTGCATTTGCTCCATTCCACCATCTACTTAGTTCCATCATCGCCTGCTAGAGTGCGCAAAAGGTATAATTTTCCATACACGAGAAAGTGCATAAAAATAATTGTAAACTACATTCCAGGCAGGACTTTGTAAAACATATTCGATTTTCAATACTTTATATTTTGAAAAACAGTGTTTTGTCTTAATATTCTACTTTATTCAATTCGTTTTTACATTTGTCTCCTTTTCCTGTAACCATATACACACGCACCGAGAGTAATGCGACTCAGCTGCGACAGGTCCACCAGGACAGGAGCCTGCAGCGACTCGTCAAGAGTAACCTCATCGGCACGCACGAGCAGTGACATCAACCACAGATGTCGGGCAGGAAGGGAAAAACTGTTTGTGAACTAAAGCAATTGCGAGGCTAACCAGGCTTGTACACAGTCCTCTAGGTATCGATGCATTAATAAACAAGTATAATTATTTAAATTTATTTCTTTTATCATTTTAATAATGCCGAAAAATCGTCTTTGAAAATTTGGTAAAAATGTATTTTAAATGTATTTTGCAATGTAAATTCAATTCAAGCATCTTAAACTTTGTAAATTCCACACAATCCCATGACAGTATGTAACACTAAAAAAAATTATAAAGCTCGAATATAAATTAAACCCCGAATACTTGGATTAGAAATCCGACATGCTAACCACTAGACTAGCGATTTCATACCATGCCACGTGCTTAAAACTTTTATGTACATGCAAACGTAGAAGCTACATTCCCTCATACAATTACATACATATTTATTTAATTTTCCATTATACAATACAAATATAATTTGCGCATATATGGCTTATGAATAATATATCTTAGACCAGTTTTAATTTATTTAAAGCCCTGGGATGTGCTGTATTTCAACCTCTCATAACTTTCAGTCGGAGTCTAAATTCTTAAGCTCACATGTAATTATTTCCTACATTCTTTTTAAAATAATTATGTAGCAATGTAGCAAGTCGGGCTGTAAGCAAGTGAATATGTACAGACATTTAGGTAGACCAATATAATTTGTTATCTATTAAGACCATTCTCATGAAATCAAATTATGGAAGCACCATTTCTAGCTCCAGGAATGTATGTTTAAGCCCTATATAACCATGTAACTTTTATAGGCATACCATACATCAAATAAAAATGTTATATTATATTATATATTTTATTTAAAAATGTATTCTTTAAATTTGTGCTTAAATGTTATGTAGAGTACAGCAAAAAGTTCTCTCAACTTGATTTCAGGCCTTCGCTCTTCGAGACTAAACACTACACAATGATAATTATTCATTATCTCAAATGTTTTGTAGGAATAAAAGTACCCGAACCGGCTTTTGATTCAATGTATATGTGAATAAACCAAGTGCCATTATATATTCCCTATATATCAGGCAGGATATAACTCCAGCGAGAAATTAAACACTTTTATTATTTATAACATAATTTATATGTTTACATACTTAAGACCACAAACAGAATCCTTAAATTTTCCACCATTCACATAGTATCTCCACACGGGCACGTAGTGAACATAATCTGCTTATACACAGCTCAAGACAGTCCATTCTAGCAAGCATCTAACCAGAACGCTTGGCCATATATTCTTCTCGACAAAGTTTTACGACTGCCCTATAGGCATTATGGGTTCTGCACTGAGAAGCACTACGGTCCCACTCCCAACCTCGGGCATCATAGTCTTCGTCTAGACACAAGGTAGAGTATTAATACTTTCATTCTGCAAACGTTGTAGTGTTTTTGGGGAAACTTCGGTGGCGGAACAACCATACTCTTTAGCCGCCGCGTTGAACGTCACCGTGGAGTTTCGTGAGAAATTGAGAACTATCCCTTGCTATGCAAATTAGGGTTCCTATAGCACCGTGCAAGGGCGTGGCGCCCTTGTGACGTTTTGGGAACTACGTGGAGAATAATAATGTGGAAATGTGTAGAAGAGAAATATGTGTATCCCACAGAATGTGTGTAGGAGGTTGCGTGTTTCACCTTTTCACCTTGAGAGCTTACTCTCCAACGGTGTACTGGTCTTCTCAGGAACTCTGCAAGGACATTTGCGTGCACTGGCATTGACAACACATAAAACTTCCAAACTTTTCAAGAAGCACTTAATTTTTATTATCATCTTTGTAAAAGAAAATCTGATAGGGGCGGTGCAGCATTACCAAATAAATGAAATCAAAATGTTAATAATTATCTTTAATTCAAAGCAGAGAAATAGAAATTGAAAATCAAAAATAAAACTGTTTAACTGTGTACGGAAAATTCAATCAATTAATTAAAACCTCTGTTCTGCAATTAAATTAAATTAATTAAAATATTACCACCATTCGAAAACAAGAATTTCTTAAATTGAAAAAAATATATTATTTAGTATATTTAAGCTGCTTTCAAAATATTTAGGTAAACCGTAGATATATTAAATTGTGTTCACATTAATATTGTCTGTAGTTCAACTGCCTCTTAAAAAGTTCTACGTAGTGAGCTCCATTAAACCATAGCATTACACATTTCATTCCTATCACTATCCCACATAACTGACTTAAGTTCGTAATCTCTTCAAAAATTATAGCAAAATCTTAAATGTTCTCCAACAAAGTTAAGTTCGAACAAAATTAGTAAACTAGTTCTTCTCTCCCAATTTAAAATGAAATCAAATGTAAGTATAAAATTTTTTTCTCGGCTAACGAGCTCAAATCGGTTAGCGTAGGACTACTGGACTGAATTAATAAGTGACATCTGTGCTGTTACTTAATCTTCCAAAAATCATATTAAATGTCACAAACATTTTGGGAGCAATAATAAATCTGTGAAATAAGCTAC